GGGGGCAGGCCCCAGCACACACACACACACACACACACACACACACACACACACACACACGACACCTGCTCCAAGCCTCTGCTGCCTAAGCCATCAGTAAGACATCCACTGAGGGCTCCTGGACTGTGAGAGGGGACAGGCTGGGCTGAGGGACCCCCCACCCTCCAGTGGACAAATTTCGTGCATTGGGCCTCTAGTCTAAAAATAAAAAGCCAAACTCATAAAAACAGAGTATAAAATGGCAGTTGCCAGGGCCTGAGGAATAGGGGACATGGGAGATGGTGGTCAAAAAGTATAAACTTCCAGTCATAAGATTAACAATTTCTGGGTATCTAATATACAGCATGGTGATTATAATTAACCACAATGTACTATATACTTGCAAATTACTAAGAGAATAGATCTTAAATGGTCTCACCACAAAAAAAAATTGTAATTATGTGAGGTGATGGTTGTATTAACTAACCTTACTGGGGTAAACATTCTGCAATATATCTGTATACCAAATCATCTTAAGGTTGTACACCTTAAACTTACACAATGTTATATGTCAATTATATCTCAATAAAGCTGGATAATTTAGATTAGCATTTTTTCCTTTCCTTAAGCCTTAAATATTAGATTTTGGTGGGATCCCACCCTCTTCTCTAAGTTTTATACTGTTTCAGGTCTGAAATATCTACTTCTAACCCAGATTTCCCTTATATGTAACTAGAGGCCTGGTGCATGAAATTCATGCACTGGGGGCGGGGTGAGGGGGTGTCCCTCAGCCCAGCCTGCACCCTCTCCAATCTGGGACCCCTCAAGGGATGTCCAACTGCCCTTTTAGGCCCGATCCCACAGGGCAGTCGGACATCCCTCTCACATCTGGGACCACTGGCTCCTAACCACTTACTTGCCTGCCGCCTGATTGCCCCTAACTGCTCTGTCTGACAGCCTGATCACCCCCACCTGCCCTCCTCTGATCGTCTGATTGCCCCCAACTAGCCCCCCTGCTGGCCTGATCGTCCACAATTGCCCTCCCCTGCCACTACCCTCCTCCTCCACTAGGACCCGCCACCTCTACGCAAAGTGATGGAAACACCAAGACTGGCCTCCTCTGTGCCTTGCAGAGCTGCAAAACACCCAGACCTCACCACACGGAGCAGCCACCAGGCCCCACCTCTGCTGTGTGCATGACCACCTTGTGGCATCCATCTTGTGGTGGCCATCTTGTGGTCGCC